ATTCCAAAGTGTTAGTGCAACCGGTATATATTATAAGATATCTGGATTAAAAAAAGCGTATTACTGTAGTGCTTCGATTTCTTGTAGGCGCTGGTGGATGCCATCCATATCATGTGTATTCACATACTTTTAATCATCGCAAATTCGTACTATTGCTCGTGTGGCAGTAGTAGCAAGCACACATACCTGGGTTATATAGCTGTAAGCTGCTTTCAATCATATACGGTATCACCTGCTTATCCCTGTCGTCCAAGACTGAGTCTGCGAATGCGCTTCGATTGGGGGCCGACATGTTTGCCCGTAGTTGGGGCGTCGTTAAAACTTACTGAAATGTATCGCACTTTCAAACTTTTACTCGATCCTGTGGATACGTGGCACATAATACACGTAGAGAATATGTGAAGAAAGCATAGGCGTTGTTTCCCACCTTCTCAGTATACCACCATACAGTTATATCTACGAGTCTTATGTGCGTACGCAGCAGGCCAAAGTGCACCAACAGATCATACATAAATAAAATATGAATCAGCCTTCGCAATTCGCATCGACCACTAAAACGCGTAATGTAGCAAGTCCAATCAGATCGTGCTCTAGAATTTGATGACAATTGTATATACATAAATACGTTAATAATTTTTACTATTATTTATATATACGTAACTCGTCCTCAAGGCTCAAGGCTCAAGGCTCACCGCTCACCGCTCACAGCCTCACAGTCACTCGCACAGTCTCACACACGCTGAAGCAGAAACAGGGTGTCCTTCGCACGTTTGGTTCTATTTATACTTTTCTACTTCTACATAGAGGGTCATAGCAGGGTCACAACTGTTCACAGCTACAGGGCCAACCTCGTAACGGTACGTACGTTATCAGGTAACGTTATGAGGTTAGCCACAGGGTCACAACTTACAAGTCACAAGTCACACCGTCACACGGACACACATACACACTCCCAGTTCGATTCTCGCGTAAAAACAAGGTTTGAAGAAGAAGAAAAATCCAAATAAACGTTTACGCCAAGAGACCTAAGAACAGTTTACGCTATAGATTGTATGTATGTACTATGCACCATACTATGTAAATATCACGGCCCTCTGGATCAGGGTCTCGAGGCGTAAATCAAGTTCTCCTCTACGACTCGTAAAGTTAGCGAGGCCCTGATCCAGCAGAGGGGCGTGTAGATGTTTGCTATCAATACAACGCTTTACGATATTACGTATACCACTAGAGGAGCAAGACTCGCGAATGTATGTTCTTTGCTCAGAAATATTGTAAATAGTAAGTACGTACACTGCAATACCCATCGGCGGGTGAAAGCTTCCACGAATTCAATCAGTCACCACTGAGACATGGGGGAGGGCCCCAACCGGGTGAGTATCCGGTGATTCTCGAGTTTCGCCAGACCACTGAACGTATTGGAAGTCTAAGACCGGCAACGTGTTCAGTGTGGGCGAAGTATTCACGATCATCTCCAACAGTACCTACCCATACTACTATCGCGTCGCTATGGATGAAGCATTTTGACCACTATGCCTGTATAGCACAATACACAGACCCTGTTTAATGTATTCTACTATTCCTAATGGGTTTACCTTTCGGTCGTACCTGATAAATATTTGTGGTATTACTACACTATATTATGGATTCAGTATTTTAAAAGCTCATCCCATAGTTATGGCATGTAGCTTATGAATCGGCCAACAATCGACTAGAGACACTCAAATGCCAACCTCTAACCCAGTATTATTTCTACTTCTACACTGAAAATTTGGAAGCGGTTCAATATATTGAGTATTTCCACAGCAGATTGCTAGATCACACCACATTCGTTTCCATGGAACTATTCATAGATACTCACGCATCGTGCTTCGAACGAGCCAAAGTACATAATAACCACTTGATGTTTACAAATTCATCATTGGACTAACTCAGATGACTGTGAAATTATATATATATATAGATACATTATACATACACACACACATATATATATATATCATCATATCATGAAACATGTAGAATAAAAATAATACCCAAAGTACTAAGCAATTTTCACTGGTGCATTCAGAGCGACCAGACAATATAATCCTAAAAGATTTATTCACGAATATCCAATGCACATACCACATCCAACGAACAATTGAAGAGTTTCACTACATGCACTGATATGACCCTGAATCAATGAGGTTCGGCAGTGGCACACCTAACGGCATCAAGCACATGTACGGCCTTGGCCACTGCTGATGATGTATGACCTTTAGCGTGTGTACAACCAAGTGTTTACAATTAGGTATATACATTGTACATAGCTCCGAGAGTCCCAATCTACAGTGTATGCACCCATCAACTACACCCACCTTCTCTACCCGTCTCCTTCAAAAAATTACTCCGCCTCGCAACCACTGCTACAGCCTAGCTCCTACCGCTAGAGCACACTTGAGATGTGTTATTCATCTGGCCCATCCCACACCCAAGTGATGCCCTAGACAAACTATGACCGAAGTCGTATCCCGGATAAACGCATGACATGGAAATAACGAAATTTCCCGCAACACCGCCCTGGAATGTATAAAGTACCCTTGTCAATGCGTTAACGGTTTAGTCGAGCGTATTGTTACCGTCTATCTGTTGTTGAGTATAGTGCATGTGCCGTGTGTATGCGATAGATTGGCTTGTCGTCCGCTAAAGCGTAAGGACCACACGACGCGTGTACACGGATCTTTGCATATTATTTGTCAGAGCGAAGTCTGCCAATTCAGTGCTTCGTCGAGTGTCGTCCGCCTACAGGCCAGTACATGTTCAGTGTACATCCAGTATGTGTCCCTTATTTGTCAATCAATCATACCTTTCTCAGCACACAAACAGCATATAACCTGTGCTGCTCTCGCAAGTCTCCTTTCGAGTATACGTACCGCATCGATTGCCGTAGTACCCTTGCATGACCACTGAAACAGAGAAGCACACACACACACAAATTGATCTATGCATGCTCTTGCTGAATTCAAACAGCATAAGAGAAGAACATGGAAACGTGGTTTGCATACGTTCTATTCCCGGACGCAATCTGTAGTAAAGCCGTATACAAACAGTTTGCTGATATACTATCCTTGCATCCTCCCAGCAGCAGCAGAGAAGCACATATAGGTACCATTCCCATTCTGTATACCACCAGAAATCGCGTAACCCGTCATGACCTCCTCGGACTGTCTCTTGTGGGCTGTACCCGCTGAAGCAGATCACTCAGACCCTTTCTCAATACGCCCAGTCTGTACGTGCATCCGTGTATTTTGGGCGATAGAGAGGCGCATAAACGTAGTCGATCTACGTACTATCCTTGTATCGCCATCATCACAGAGAAGTACATAAATGTAGACTATTTGATACGTTTTTATTCCTGCATGCCGTCTGTTGCCGTGTATTCCGTCATGGCCTCCTCGAACGTCTCTCGTGTGTGCTGTGCCAACTCTTGCAAATCGCTCAGACCCTTTCTCAACACACTCACAGCAGACACCCCACTCTTGGTCTGTATGTGCATCTGTATGTTATGGTCAGAAGGATGTGGTACTACATAGCCGCAAAACTCAGTGTCCGGGTTCTTCATGATGATCCATCGCAATGAATTGCCAAGGGTGTGGTCTTCTCCTTCGATCTTGACCACGAGGACGGTCTCGCCTTCATTGGGGGGTGTACTTAGAGATAGTTTCATGATGGCTTCGATGTGCTGATATGTGTGTGTTGTGAGTACTAGTATACGTTTGAACAGTGTATGTAAATGCGAGCAATCGAGACGAGTGCTTACTGTGAGTTTAACGGAAGGGTAATTAGTAAAATAATTTAGTCCAGTTGATATGCACGTGCAATTTTTTCCATTTGTTTTTGTTTTTCGGGTTTTCTTGAACGAATGATCTCACCCAAATTTGGTCAGTGAGGTTTTGGCGCCCATGTACACCTACGTCGCATGAAGCTAAATTGCACATTTTAAGTAAATAGCACCCAAATTAAAAGTAAACAGATAAGGTGGTGATAAAATGTGCACAGATATACAATGATACACATACTTATGCCTACAGGTAGGTATACGTATAAGTGTATGTACATTTGCTTGCTTCTAAACAATGCTATATGCGGGTGTTTAGACGTCGAGGCTGCCCAGTACACGCTAGCTAGTGCACTATACAATTTGCAAATACACAAAAAACAAATTCGATTCGAGGTATAGCGGAAAGCAGGAGTCTATATCCAGGCCCTTGTCCCGGCGTAGCTATACATAAGAATAACCTTGTACATATCTTACTTCTACATTGCTCATGGATATAGGCTTTAAAATTTACGTAGCCCTTCTTCTCTTTGCACATCACCACAAGCTCAGAGACATTTGACATAGTATCGTCATTGTTTTGTTATTCTTATTTGTGGCTGCCTCGAGCAACACGTGTTAAGCTAGTGCTCATACACTCTGTTTGCTTCTCCTCCTGGATACTGATACGCTCAGGAATTCCTCTTCCATATCTCTATACGGCCAATTTAAATACTAGTCTTGTACCCATGCCAACGTAAACCAAACTGTGGGATGGTATTCGGGTATTCTCACTCAGTTGTGCATTGTACCAGAAGCGGCAGGATTTGACTTCCCAAATTAAAGGATGCAGCGTGAAGTATACTTGACGAATATATAACAGACGCCAAGTATCCTAAAATGAACATTGTTTATAAGATGCCGAGTATCTATGACAGGTGAATAAAAACCTGAATATTGAGCGAATATATGCTATACTTGTCATTTTGAGCGAACAAAATGTGCATGTAAGTGATATGTATCGCATGAGTCTGCCAAACTTATTATACGAGTTGAGCTTTTGGCAGTAAAATCCGCCGGCCAATTTCGCAGATCGACGCATGAACCTAAGCTATTCGCAAGATGCACCAGAAAAGTATTTGCAGACAAAGTGAATCCTCACCACTTAATTAGAGCCAACGTACAACTGTACATGTATTGCACCAGGAAAGTATATGCAAACACAGTAGATTGTCACGACTTAATTAAAGCCAACGAGCTGTGCATATATTGCACAAGGAAAGTATATGCAAACACAGTAAATCGCCACCATATAATTAAAGCCAACGAGCTGTACATATATTGCATCAAGAAAGTATATGCAAACACAGTAAATTGCCACCACTTAATTAAGAGCTGTACATGTATTGCACCAGGAAAGTATATGCAAACACAGTAAATTGCCACCACTTAATTAAAGCCAACGAGCTGTACATGTATTGCACCAGGAAAGTATATGCAAACACAGTAAATTGCCACCACTTAATTAAAGCCAACGAGCTGTACATGTATTGCACCAGGAAAGTATATGCAAACATAGTAAATTGCCACCGCTTAATTAAAGCCAACGAGCTGTACATATATTGCACGAGGAAAGTATATACAAACACAGTAGATTGCCACCACTTAATTAAAGCCAGCGAGCTGTACATGTATTGCACGAGGAAAGTATATGCAAACACAGTAAATTGCCACCGCTTAATTAAAGCCAACGAGCTGTACATATATTGCACGAGGAAAGTATATGCAAACACAGTAGATTGCCACGACTCAATTAAAGCCAACGAGCTGTACATGTATTGCACCAGGAAAGTATATGCAGACAAAATGAACTCTCACCACTTATTAAAACCAACGAGCTGTACGCGTACTGTACCAGGAAAGTATATGCAGACAAACTGAACTCTCGCCACTTATTAAAGCCAACAAGCTGTACGTGTATAGAGTTACGTATGACAGTAGCACACCAAAGTCCTGTGAGGTTGCTTTCAGCCGTATGATTCAACTTTCGACATCCCAGGTTCAAAAGTATAAAACACTCAAACGCCAGAAAACGGCGCCGTCAATAATTAAATATGCCATCAGTTTAAGCCGACGAAATGTTACATTTATAGAGATACGAATGGCAGTGGTGTGCCAAGGTTATATGAGTCGAGCTTTCCGCGCGTGTTTGGTTTGTATCTAACCAAACAGTTCTTATCAATAAGCGTTCCTACATTCTCGTATGTTTTACATTCCTCCGGTCTGTTCTTGCATGACGTCGATGGAGTCCCCATCCTCTAGCTCCAACTGAGGATACAAACATAGTATTGGTATCAGTGAAGTGAGGTGTGAAGTCTTATACATTCAAAATATGTTACCTTTGTACTGAGAGTACACGCGTAGTATTGGTATCAGTGAAGTGGGGTGTGAAGTCTCATACATTCAAAATATAATATCTCTAGTCAAGAATTGGCGGCTATGTAGGTGTAGATAGCAAGCACCCATTAACCAACCTTGTGCTAATCGAACTACATATTGGTTTCACCTATTTACATAACTATCGAAAAAAGGGTTCAGCTATGTGGCAGCGTTGTACTATTTCATAACCAGGCAAGTACTCACAACTACAATCGGCCACGGATTAAAAGGCGCAAGCTGTGAATTCATACTTGCAATGCATATGTTAGACACAGGGAGTGTACAGAAATGGTCCCTCATGACGTTGAGTAGGGTCCCTATATAACCTTAGCATGATGCATATAACTAGACAAGCAACTCTTATATATTGCAATGGACTACGAATTAAGAGCGGAAGATGTGATTACACACTTGCAATGGGTATGCCAGACTCAATGTATGCGGAAAGAATCGCCTATGAAGATGAACCGTGTCAAGATAAGAAAGCATTTCATATTTCAATGAGTAGAGTCGGGTCAGGTCACAAACGTATGCGGAAAGTGCTCAATCCACGACGCTAAAACGTGCAAAGTAGAAAAACCAAACGTGCAAGTAGAAAAATCTCCTACGCAAGTACAGTAGGAACACACATTTATATCTTCGGCATCATGCCAATCAAGATATGCTTGACATCATATATACAACACGCTTAAAGATATACCATTCAACACGCAACGAGAATACGTATGTTATTTCTGAGCCTGACACCCAATAGGTTTCAAATGATAATCAAAGACGACAACATGGATGAGTTCAACACTTAAGCCCATATCGACTCTTCAAATACAACGCTTAAACTGACCAGTACTAATCGCAGATACCACTACGGGTAATATATATGGATATACATACATATTTATACAGATATGTGAGTCCATGTTTCAGATATATGATCTAACATATATTTGTATCGATTAAATGTATACGCACAACAATAGATAGATATTCCAGCACATCATAAACGTTATAATATATATATATATATATAAGAGTACTCTATTCAGTGAGACAGATCATTTTCTGTACGCATACTTGCATATTGTGATCGTTCCATGGAAATCGGCATGGGAGATACACACACATACACAAACATAGATGTATACAAACAAACACACACACACATTATATATGTATATATTATATACACATATATATGCAGGTGGTTATATAGACACTATCGCGCACTCGCAGAAACTTACATCAGTGGCAGTCATATCGTCTTGTACGACGGTTCCTTCCGGTGTGACGAATCGAACACTCTTGCGATCGATAGCTTGTCTTTGACAGTATGCGTTCATTAGCTTGAAAAGGGGTGTCGTCTGCAGCGAATCAAAATGGATACAGTGAGCTGCCACGTATATGGAAAATATAGTATAGAAAGTATATATATACATATATATAAATTTGTATATATATATATATAAATATATATACATACACTACAGTTACTTCTCCCTTGGGTTATCTCCGGAAGCGCATATGTACATATACATACATACATACATTCATACATGCATACATGTATATATATATGCGCGTATATGTAATACCTCTCTTAAAAATTCCTGCAGATTTGCTACTCATTAGCAATCAATGCGCATGTGCATCGACACAGGTGCTTGCCCATGACATACTGCACAACATGCCGGCCACAAGAACATACTGAAGAACATACTAACTATACACTAGACCGGCACACAATATGACTTAATATGCACTATTAAACATATCGAAAAAGAGATACAATGCCAACTGTAGACAAAAGAAACGTTCACAACGAGATGGATAGAACGGGGTCTGGCCCGAATGACTTGTACATCTTTTTATACAATTAGATGGTGACAACCGTTTCAGAGACCATTTAAGCCCGTAGACCAAATAAAACAAGACACTCCAGCACACATGTTATACACGCACTGATATCCCCTTATAGTATCAATAGAGCAAGGTAGGCATTCGGCATATATCAACCGATATATCTTAATAATACTAAGACATGTATAAAAAACAAGTACTAACCTTCTTAACTTTGAAATCGACTTCGGTTCCGTCTTGCGTAACAACCTTCAGGTGCAACTGCTCACCACCTCCCTCGCCCTTAATGTCGGGCTGTATACATACAACAAGAGAATTTCAGAAATGTTATATATTTTGTACACCGAGACGTGCTTAGGTGTACTGTACATAGTCGTGAAAAATTTAGAGAAGATGTTAGTATAAAGCATATAGAAAAGCTTCAGGGACATACTATATATAGGAAACAAGTGGCTGGACTACCGCCACTGTACAAAGTGCTTACAGAAACGCGATTGATGTGTAGTATGTGAGGTAATCTTAAGCATCCAAGCGCAATACTATTGACAATAATTGCCAGATATCATCGACCTTTGGTTCACCACGACCCAAGAAACGACCAGGTATACAAATATAATCAAAATGAAACGATATGTGGATGAAAGAGGCTGGATTCAACACAACTACAATCAACTTGATTTTGACCAGTAGATCTGTAAACGACATAGAGACCGTGTACTTTTACGATAAGAGCACATGAACAATTGGACAGTCCCCTCCAACACCACACCTCAAGATCGAATACACTCAGACACTCACACAATAGAATGTTCTCAGTCCGACACTCACAGAAAAGAATGTTTCCACTCATTAGAAAGTAAAGCGAAGAGCTGAACCTGATGCATAACACACACACAGTGCAACCACAATATAGACGTTAAGAGCCAATCCTGTCAACATAAAAGCACATATACTCGCGTCACTATGATAGAATATGTTACTGATCAATATCGAATTCCTGCCTGCACTAGTATGTGTACGCATACCCTGTCTTCGTCATGATATAGACATAATAAAAATTGATAGTAGCTACCTATAATAGACTAAGGATATATAGCTGAAATGTAAGGCGTACAAGCTATCCAAGCAAGAAACAAGACAAACTTTGTATCAACAGAAATAGAACCATAAAACACACACAATAGCATATATTGTGTCCACAGACACATAAGCATAAAGCACACACATACACAACAGGTTTTAAAACATACATACCTTCTCCTCGCTTGGCTCAGACATGTTGATTTAGGTAGCTGATCTAGGTAGCTGTGATGTATTTGAAATAGGTATAAAAATATATGTATACGTGACTATCTCAGTGACTAGCAGTGCAGGTGCATATATTAAAATATATAGTTTGATGCGATGCCGATGGATATGCGATACAAACCGGTGTATTTAGAAATTGCGCGCGTGCAAACTGATGAAACTTGTGGTGTTTCAATTTTGATGGCTGTGAGCCTATGAACTTGGTTTCAAAAAATCCAAAAAAACTGATAACCAGTGGAAAGTTCGGTACAAACGAACCAATTCAAGGTTTAACAAAAAAAATTGAAACTATATTTAATTATAGTATAAAACTTTTTTTCAGCGGTTTGTTTTAAAAAAAGGTTAAAAACTGGAACGTAAACAATCGCGTAACATAGCTTCCTAAAAAAATATTTTACTTTTTTGTCGGACTTTGGGCCTGTGTCATAATAGGTCTCTCGGCCTGGCTGCGCGCATAAGGGCTTGAACATAAAAAGAAAACGTTGTAACGTACACGTATATGTGGTCGTATATAGTGAGGAAGCAGGAATCTAAACCTACATACTCTATGACAAAACTATACCTCGGAACTTCATAAATATTGGACCCTAATCAAACATAAAAAGGACCAGACCAGTCGCAAACGTAAAAAGTATTCATTTTTATACGTCGATTAGCCTGAGTCTGCGTTTTGTAGAGTCTCAGTCAGAGGCTCGTCATGCCTACGCTGTTTACCTAATGAGCATGTTGAAGACGAAAGTGGTCCAAATAACAAATCGCGTGAGAGACCTATCACATACGTACGGAATTGAGAATATAGGCTGAACATCATTATATAATAGTCTTTTGAAACAATTCATTCTGATAAGAGGTTATCTATACCTGGTAGTTGGTTCATATATGCCTTAGCTAAAATTGTTACTTATAAATCCTACACGTGGCGACTGTTATATCGCGTTCCAACGTTTTGAAAACAAGTCGGGAGGTTGTTGTGGAGACCATCTAAAGTGACACTTCACTATTCCAAACCGGGTTGTTATTTTCAATATCAAACGCCATAGCCTTCTGAAAATTAAACACAAACGCAACGGTTAGCTTTTCTCTAGAACGAGTGTGTTAGTAATATTCCATGCAACATGGGGGTACGGTTTCCGTTACATACACTGCATGTCATGGTAACAACCCGCGCGATTTTTATCTAGGTTGTCGCAGAGAAAAGCCACAGATGAGCATACGTCCTTGTCATTAGTCAGCTTCAGTTGGAGTCTGTTGAAGATCTAAATCATTTGTGGCGATAAACAATATGAATATTAATAGCACTGAGCTACAGGCACGCTCAGACCGACCATATTATTAGAACACATACGCGAATGTATAGAATAAAAGCAATGCGGACCATACCAGAGCAGTGATGAATATTTTCATATGTTCGAGTTGCTCTTGCATGTGTATTTGTGTATACACACACAACGTGTGTGTTTGTGTGTATGAGTTCATTTGGTGCAAGTATATAAGTGTGCATCTACCTACCTATACACATACACACACACACACAGTCCCACACACAGTCACACACACACACATATATATATATGTATTATGTATATCTCTATACGTATGTATGTAAGCATGCATGCAAATAAGCATGCATGCATTTCTGTTTATATGTGTATATGAATGTATCTATTTATGCGTGTTTGTATGTATGTAATCATGTCAACATACATAAACATACGTATATACATACATAAATACGTATTCAGAGGCACAAACACATACACTCGCATATATATATATATATATATATGTACGTATACACACACACACACACACACACACACACACACACATATATATATATACATACAATATATATATATATTCATATATATATATATTATATATATATATATTC